TTCCTCCCCATCGGGCCGCGTGAGCGGCCACGCCTCGCAGATTCGTTTTCGCGCCTGGGTCAGGCGCGCGGGGCATCCCCCGGGTCGCTCGACCAGCGATCCGAAGAGTGGCCGCTATGCGAGGGAAAGAGCGGGGCCCTCGACGCCTCAGTCCGGCCCTCCGAGGGGGGAAGGGAAGTGCGGGGTCCCCACGGGCGCCTCAGTTCGGCCCTCCCGAGGGGGGGAGGGGAGCAAGGGGGTGGGGGGGTCGGGGCGGTGGGGAGGGGTCTCGGTTTCATGTGGCTAAGACTTGCCTTTCGGGGAGGGGCCTCGGGAAAGGCGCGCATGCAGCCCTACGTCTTCCCCTCCTCCCCAGAGGCAGCGAGTAGGCAGCGAGAGGAGGTCTCGAGCGCCTATATGAAGGTATGTGAGATGGTGATGGGAATGGGTGGTCGGTCGGGCGGGCGGGCGGGCGGGCGGGCGGGCGGGCGGGCGGGCGGGCGGGCAAGCAAGCGGGGAGCGGCGGGCGGGCGGGGCGGAGCGGGCGGGCAGGGTTATCGGGGGAATCGTGTCCACAATCAGCGGCAGTGGAGCAGCAGCCGCAGCAGCAGCTGTTGCAGCAGCAAGCAGCAGCCAGATTGCTGCCGTTGTCTGCGCCGCGATCCGCCGCCGCGCCGCCGCGCCGCCGCCGCCTGCGCTCGCCGCCGCCTCGTAGACGACTTCTCTCGCGCTCGGAGAGCCGCGCAGCGGGCCGCGAGGTTGTGGTCAGAGAGCAGCAGGGTTGAGATCCACAAAATCAGCCAAATTTGAGGTTGCTCGAGAGAGCCTGGAAATGGTCCCGCGCCGTTGCCCCGGTGCCGGCGCATCACGTCTCAGCCGCGATGGGCCGGTTCCGCCGCGCAGTCGAGCAGCAGGAGCTCGGAGGCAACTTTGTCGACAAACTGGTCGAGCCAAAGATCGGCGCCGATAACGATTGGGGTGGGGGCCCCAACTCGTGGTAGGCCACTAGTTTATCGTAGGGTACTCACGGATACCTCTCCCGAGTCCCTCTCGTGTGCCCTCGCGCACATCGCATGCGGTCTTCACTCAGCCTCCGCCTCCGCCTCGAGTGAGCCTCGTCTCGCTCTTCGTCTACTCGAGCCTCGTCTCGTGTGCCGCCTCGTGGGCGGCGTGGCGTGGCGGGCGGCTGTCTCTGCCGCCGCCTCGAGTGAGCCTCGTCTCGCTCTTCGTCTACTCGAGCCTCGTCTCGTGTGCCGCCTCGTGGGCGGCGTGGCGTGAATGTAGGCTTCACGCTGGGGTCGCTCCTCGTCACGAGCGCATCTGCCCCTCTTCTGGCTTCATTGGGATGCGAGGTCCGTCTGCACCCGCTCCCTCCACTCTGCGTTGGGATGTCAGGTACTGCGTAGCTCTTCCGTTGTGGAGGCACGCGACTCCAGACTGACCCTTCTGGGTTCGGACTTTTTGCGGGGTATGGTAGGGTGATCGAGACCATACCCCCCCCGCCTGCTGACAGACCCAGCCTCCCGGAGACCGGGGATGGGCGGTCAGGACCATACCCCCCCCACCCTTTGGGCCGTGAGAGTACCATACCATACCCCGCAAAAAGTTGGAACCCTGGTATCAAAAAAAGAATTCTCGGTCATGTGTGTGGTGGCGGTGTGCCGTCCTCCCATCGTCGGCCCAGTGGCGTTGACGACGCCGCCTTTGGCGACCCCGTGCACGGCGGCGACGGCGTCGAGCAGGTACCGCCAAATGATCGGATGGCGCGGCGCGTACGCCAATATACCCAGGCACATACACGGCGAGACATACATACACGGCTACCTAATAGACATTCGAATTAGACATTAGTTTCAACGAGGGTGCTGTAGAGAAACAAGGCAAGGAAACGAGACGGGGAGTGCGCGAGGAAATTGGGCACAGCCCTAACCTTGGGCCGCGCCGCGTGCGGGCACCTGCTGCGGAGCGCTTGGAATGCGGCGCACGCTAATAGCCCCAAGGTTTGGCAGACGCATCCTAAGTGCAGCGCATCCTGCCCCACATCATGCACCATGACGCAACCCAACGTCGAACTGGTGAGCCAACAAAACCTCACTCGCTGGCAGTGCACACTCACGCTGTGCCAACGAGACAGCATGGCAGCAGCAGCTTGGCTGGGTCTACGAATGTATAGTTGATGACTTCATCCGCGACCATTTGAGCCCCCTTGCGTACACCGTCTTCCGCTGCCTACCCCTTGCAGTGATGCGTGCGGACATGTGGCGATATGCAGTGTTGTACGTGATGGTGGGCTCTATGTTGATGCGGATGTGCAATATTCTCGACGTGTTCATGACTGGCTGCAGTAGCCAGCATGCCGTGCTTCCCACCAGTCGCTCTCCAGACAGAACTTCATGTATGCAGCTCGGCCCAGACACCCCATCTTTCGTGCCGCGCTGGACCTCATCGTGCGGCGTGTGATTGCAGACGGCGGCGTGCTTCCGAGCCGGCGCGCGATACATTTTGTTCACCACTACACTGGCCCCGGCATGTTCACAACAGCGGTGCTCCAAACGCTCTACCCACAGTTGTATCGCGCAGCAACCACACCAGTCCGCTGCATGCACAGGAGCCACCGGACAGGTACCTGGACACTCTTTCAGGCGCAAATGCAAAGGATTGGGCACTGTGGAGGATGCGCCAAGAAGATGCTGCCGGACGGTGCACAGCAGCCTTTGGATACGGCACACACCCGATGCCAGGTGATTGCAGTCAATTTATTAGAGAGGCCTTAAAGTCCAGCCCATCAGCAGAGCATATGATGGGCCTGTGCGTGGAATTGACACCGGTAACGTCCACTGCATGTCGCCATGGCAAAAGCGCTGCAAGTCTAGCAGGATGGCATTCCTTGCGAAAGCACGTCAAAAAACTCGGACCCACGTAGACAAGGAGCGCGCGCCAATGGCCGCCTCCGTGACACTCCCACCTCCTGGGCCGCGCGGGAGTTTTACTGCCGAGTTTCTCCCGGCCGGCCGCCTCCTGACACGCCCACTGACCGAGCCCATAAAAAAAATCCGGCGCCCCGCACTGCTCTGACCCCTGCTCGCCACTGCTCGCCACTGCTCGCCACTGTCGCCTCGGTTGCCGAGGCTGCCGCGCACCCGCACGCCCGCGTCGCTGCGCGACTACGAACTGCACCAGCTGGGCTCGAACCAACGACCAAAACGTCCCCGACCCGAACGCTGCACCAACTAGGCCACGCCCCAGGTTCGATCTGCAATACGCACAAAAATGGCCGCTCATAAAGCATTACTCATTTGCCGAGGCCACGCGGCGCCCCTCCACAGCCAGCCTACCCTCCTATCGCGCCACTCGAAGCCCCGCGGCCGCCTCTCGCCTACCGCGCTGCCCTCGCCTGCCACCGCACCGCCCGCGCTCCAGCCTAACCAGCTCTGCATCTCGCAACACACACTTGACAGGGACAGACCAGGCGCAGGAAAAGGGAGCGGGGCCCGAATCCAAGGGACCACCCCGTCGGGCGGAGGAGCTGTGAACTCAGGTCCAGCAGGAAGGCTGCTGGCTCCTGACTCATCCCCCAAATCCCCCACACCTTGGCGGCCTGAAACCTTACCATTCCGACACCTCACACACACCCCTCCCCTAGGGCTAAGCAGTGCGCGAGCCCACCCGACTGAGACGTCGACCACTCCTCGGGAATAGTTCTGTCAGTGGCTGCACTAGACGCCCACAGAGGCGCGCGGCGCGGGCAGATGACTAGGGGAGAAAAAGCGGAGAACCTAGCTCGCTGGGAGATGTGCGCAACCTAAAGACGGGAATAGGGGAGAAGTGTCAGTGTGAGGGGAGGGCGTAGGCTGGCGTTTTTGCCTTTGAAAACTGAACAGTTTTTTTTGCGAAAGCACGTCAAGGACAGCATATGCCCAGTGACGCTAGCGCTTAGATCTCGGACATAGACGTCAATATTTCTACCGATGCCACGAGAATTTTCCGGCCCTTTCCTAAATGGATCTATCATCTAATGCACGTCAAGTATGATAGCCTCATGATCTTCCCACTAAGTCGGGTTGTAGCAGCTTGTCGGCGTATACCGGCCAGGGGGATATGTAGTCCCACACAACGGTCGCACAGCACGATTCACGCCGGCGACAGAGACAAGGCGCGGGCGCAGGCCCGTGGAGCACGCACGGCCGCTCGCTCCTCTCGTCGCGATTCGCCGACTGCTCGGCCGGCGTCGTGAAGAGCGTACGCTCCGCGAGCGAAGACAAGTAGGTACCTTTGGCGCCGGCCGTTCGCGGGCTTAGTCTGTAGATCACGCGCTTGCGGCCCCGATGTGTCCGAACAAGGATCTCATCGACGGCCGCGGGTTGTGCGAAGTTGTGGCGCCAGCAGTGTCCGACCGGCGCAGTACTATGACTGTCCTGCAATTGCGCTCAAACATCCCACCCATAAAGTAGCGTTCGGTGTGAGTGTGAGTGAGTTTTCGGTCCCATCTTGGTTGAAGGCGTACACAACATGGTACTCTACTGACAGTAACAACCAGCGCGCGGCAGAGCGGCTGTCTCAACGATCGCGCAAGGCATTCAACAAGCCGGAGTTATCAGCCTAGAGCTCAGCGCGTCGGGTAGCATTGTGCCTGGCCAGTCGCTTCTGTGTGTCACGGTGCGCTTGGTACTCTCGCAGGAGGTCCCCTGCGCGCTGTTCGCCAGCCGATTTCGCGGCGCTCGATGAGGAGGTGGTCGAGGCCGACCACACGAGCGCAAAGTACATCCTGCGCCGTCACAGCGAGAGAGCGTGATGGGTGGTTGTTGCGGGGCTGCAGGCGTAGGCTAGCCGGGGCCGACGAGGGCGGCGAACCTTCAAGCGTCGTGAGGAAGGAGTTCGGACGCCCTTGCGAATAAAGCGGGATTCGTTACGAATGGAAACAAAAGAAGAAACCCCGGCGCGCATAAGGGGAACATTCTTCCTCCGATTCCTTGGAAAAGAAATTCCGCGCAGATTCTTGTCAGGGGGATCAGTCGCATCAGCACAGCCCGTGCCCGACACAGCTCCTGACGTGCGTCTCCGCTCGCCCTCTCCCCACGCGGGGCCGCGCCTCGCCTCCGGCGCACACGCCCGCGACCCCACACATGCTCGCGCCCCGCCCGCGCCGCCACATCGAGCGCTGCCGCGCCAGCCGCCTTGCGCCTGGGTGACGCCGCCGCAAACGCACCCGCTTCCCTCCCCGTCCCAGCACACTCGCCCACACCGCACGCGCTCGCACCACCGTGCTCGCACCACCGTGCCGCGCCGCCACGCCGCACGCCTGCGCTACACAGACTCTGCCATGGCTCTCAATCTGAACAAGCTCAAGCTCGACTCTGTCGACGTGGCGGGCAAGCGCGTCTTCATCCGCGTCGACTTCAACGTGCCGCAGGACAAGGCCGACCCCACCATCATCACCAACACCGCTCGCATTGAGGGCGCGCTTCCCTCGGTGCGCCTCGCCCCCCTCCCGCCACGCCCGGCCCTCTCTCCGCGCGCGGCGGCGCGGCCGCCGGCGCCGGAAGGCTCGCGCTGAGCCCCGCCTCTGTGCCTCTGTGCGTGCTGCGCGCTCGCAGATCAAGTACTGCCTCGAGAAGGGCGCCAAGTCGGTCGTCCTCGCGTCCCACCTCGGCCGGCCCGACGGCAACGTCGTGCCCAAGTTCACGCTCGCGCCGGTTGCCAAGGCGCGAGATATGGGGAGATAGGGGGAGGTACGGGGAGATATGGGGAGGCAGTATGTGCCGCCCGAGTACCTCTTCACACGCACGAGATAGGGGGAGGTATGGGGAGATATTGATGTGCTGCCCGAGTACCTCTCCACAGGCGCTCGAGAAGCTCATCGAAAAGCCGGTGACCTTCCTCACGGACTGCTGCGGCGAGGAGGTCGAGGCGGCGTGCGCGGACCCGGCCCCCGGCTCGGTCATCCTGCTCGAGAATGTGCGCTTCCACCTCGAGGAGGAGGGCAAGGGCGTCGACGCGGCGGGCGAGAAGGTCAAGGCGGAGAAGGATAAGGTCGCCGCCTTCCGCGCGAGCCTGTGCAAGCTGGCCGAGGAAAAAAGAAACACCGCGGCCTCGTATTTCTTTTGTAGGTCGCCGCCTTCCGCGCGAGCCTGTGCAAGCTGGCCGAGGAAAAAAAGAAACACCGGGGCCTCGTATTTCTTTTGTAGGTCGCCGCCTTCCGCGCGAGTCTGTGCAAGCTGGCCGACGTGTACTGCTGCGACGCGTTCGGCACGGCGCACCGCGCCCACTCCTCGATGGTGGGCGAGGGCTTCGCTGTCAAGTGCGCGGGCTTCCTCGTGAAGAAGGAGCTCGAGGCGTTCTCGATGGTGCTGGGCGCGCCGAAGCGGCCCCTCGTCGGGATCATCGGCGGCGCGAAGGTCAAGGACAAGATCATCGTGCTGGAGGCGCTGCTGGAGAAGGTCGACAAGCTGATCGTCGGCGGCGGGATGGCCTACTCCTTCCTCAAGATTATGGAGGACATGAAGATCGGCGGCTCGATCTACGACAAGTCGGCGCCCGAGGTCGTGCCTCGCATCCTCGAGAAGGCCAAGGCAAACAACGTGGAGATCATTCTGCCGGTCGACTTCATCTGCGGCAACAAGTTCTCGGAGGAGAGCGAGGTCAAGGGGCCGGTCTCAAAGGCAGAGGGCATCCCGGACGGCTGGGAGGGCTTCGACTCTTAGACGCGGAACACGCATTCATGCCTCCCAGCTAGCGCTCGAGAGGACACGTACTCCGCCGCATTCCGCTGCACTCCACTGCATTTCACTGCATTTCGCACCCCTCGTATTCACGCGGTGCTCTCAACACGCAGCACGACACCGTCTTCCCGCCCTCATGTCGGCGTATTCAACACGCAGGCTTCGACTGCGGCCCGGAGTCGAACAAGCTGAACGCGGAGACGATCAAGGGCGCGTCGACGGTCCTCTGGAGCGGTGCCGCTGTGAAGCAGGCGCCGCTCACAGCTCGGAGCCTGTGATCAGGCGCGTCGACGGTCATCTGGAACGGACCGCTCGGCGTCTTTGAGATCTCGCACTTCCAGGGCGGCACCAAGGCACACGCGCACGCGCGCGCCGCGCGCGCGCACACACACACACACACACACACACACACACACACACACACACACACGCACGCACGCACCGGGCCTTGCACTTTGAATGCCGTGGGGCTCCTGCCTGCCTTAGACGTGGAGTCGCGAGGGACCAGCCCGGCCCTTGCCCCACCACCTCGTGTGTGTGGAGAAGCTCACCTTCCCTTCCCTTCCCCTACCAAGGCGGCGATGGACGCGGTGGTCGAGGCGAGAAGAAGAAAAACAAGAAAGCGTTTTCTTTTTGTCTTAAGGCGGCGATGGACGCGATGGTCGAGGCGACCAAGGCGGGCGTGACCACCGTGATCGGCGGCGGCGACACCGCCACCGCCGCCGCGACGTGGGAGTGCGTGGACAAGGTGACCTTCGTGTCCACCGGCGGCGGCGCCTCGCTCGAGCTTCTCGAGGGCAAGGTGAGATACGGGGGATACGGGGAGATACGGGGAGATATGGGGAGGTGGCGGGGCGCACCAATCCTCGGACAAGGCACGGGGAGAGATGGGGAGAGATGGGGAGTCTCGAGCTTCTCGAGGCAAGGTGGCCTCCGAGGCCTCGCCTCCTCGTTAGTTCTCATGACCAGTGCTCGTCAATCCTTGACTAGGTGCTGCCCGGCGTCGCGGCGCTCGACGACGCCTAGAGCGGCGCTTTCCTCCTCCCCTCTTCCCCTTGCGCTTTTGGGCCACTTCGTGGTCCGCGTGGCCAGGTCGCGGTTCGACAGTTCGGATTCCTCTCGATACACTCGATTCTCTCGCAGTCAAATACACACAACCGGTGTACGTGATGCGCAAATGGCCCGTCCTATTTATTTCTCTCTCTTCTTGTGAGTCGACTCTCGCAGACAGACTAGAGGGTGCGAGGTACAAGCGGTACAAGGTAAGGTAAATTTCTCCACACACAAAAAGCTCCCCTCATCGCAAACGCCCTCCCCTGTCAGGTAAATAAATAAATAAATAAAACGGACACCTCTACTAGGAGATGGGTAAAAAGGAACAGGTCCCCGCCCTGCGGTCTTTGTGCAGGGTTCTTTGTGGGTGTGGTCGGCGACTAGCCGGGAGCCTGTCAGGTAAGAGGTAAGGCAAGGTAAGGTAAACCCCGTCTCCACACACACAAAGTGGTGGGGCAAGGGGGGGCAACCCTCGCATCTCCACACCCGGACACGGGCAGGAGCCCTACGGGCTAGTTCCATTACCATTTCACTCAGAGACACGCTAATCTGGAAAACGTCCAACGGAGCTCCGTGTTGCTCCCAGCGCCCTCCCCCGCGCTTCCTGCGGCCCTAGCCGATGATACTAGCATGGGAGGGGCATCTGGCTACCGCGAGAGCGACCCAACTCGTCGACATCGTCCGATGGAGCCGTACTTCCGTAACAGCTCATGCAATCACGAGAGCGAGATGGACGACGTTCGCTCTCCACTCCGCACCTCGTTCTGCGCCGCCTCTACCGCCTTGAAGAGGGCTCGGAAGCCGAGCGCGCGGGCATTCACCTGGATGTCGAACAGCTGCGAGAGGCAGCGTTGCTGTATGCGCCGCCGGAGGTACTCTCCGGCGTTGAAGAACTCCTCGTGCGGTGTGAGCCTCGACGTGCGAAGGTACTCGACGACGTGCGGCCACGCAGAGGGCTTAAAGGGCTCGTCAGCCTCGGTAGCCGCACGCGCGTCCTCGGCGGCGCCGGCCTCGCGTGCATGCGCCAGATAGGCCTCGACCTCGCAGCGGCCGCCCTCCTCGAGCGCGCACAGCCTCTCGACGCGCTGGAGCTGCTCTCGCAGCACATAGTAGCTCCGGCGCTCGACGACGAGCTCCACCGCGGTACGCTGCATGCGGGCTTCCAAGACGGCATCGTCATACCAGTAGCCGTGATCGCACACATAGCGTGCAAAGTCGCGCTCGTCTGCGAACGCGAGCACAGAGCCAATGCCGTCCGCGGGCGGCTCTGCGGTGATGCCGTTCCCCCATGAGAGATCGAGGTAGACTGCCAGCGACTCCGCTCCGTCACCCAGCCATACCTCCGCCCAGCCGCTCTGCGCATTGTACTCGACGACCTCGTCATCTCGCGGCGGCGGCGCCTGCAGTGCCATCGACACGCCGCGCTCGATGTGCGGCGGCGCAATGTTCAGGCGTTGGATGAGCGACGCTGCGTCGGGATAGGAGTCAGCCACATTGCCGCCACCATCGCCTCCGCCACTCATCCAGCCGACATCGGCAACGGAGCCGTTCCCTGTCGAGTAGACAGACGCCGAATCGAAGCCAAAGGAGCCACGCGGCTGCAGCTGCTTGGCAAGGAGCGTCCTGGCGGCGTGCATGCGCTCGTCGCGCGGCGGGAGCACGCGCGGCGTCGGCAGCGGGTGACGCTGATCGATGACGAAGAAGGCCATAAAGTCGCGTGAGCCGCTGCCGCTCTCCGCCTCGATGCGCAGCACGCGATGGACGGCGGCGTAATTTGAGAAGCAGACGAGCGTGCCCTCGCGCACGGGCACCCGGCAGCGCGGAAGCGTCGAAGCCAGCTCTGCCGTGTTCTCGAGGGTGCCGTACTCGCCGCCCGCATCCCCGCACCAGAGCGCGTGCTGCTGCTTCGAGCAGAACTCGAGGCTGCCGCCTTGGAGGCTGGGCGAGGCGCGGTAGTAGTATAGGACGACGGCGACGACGTGTTCGTCCATGCCGTCCTCGTGCCACACGCCAGCATACTCCTCGCCGGCGGCGAGCACGATGCGCTGCGCCTTGACGACCGCCTGCAGCGGTCCGGGGAGCAGCAGTGCCGGTCGGCGGAGCCTCGCGAGCATCGGCAGCGCGGTGGCCATCAGCCGCTGGGTGGCGACGTGCAGCTTGACGTGCTCGTGCACGTCGAGCCCCGGGATCGGCGAAGTGAGGTGGCACTCGGCGCGCTTCCTGCGGCGGGAAGGCGACGAGTGGAGAGAGGGTACGAGATGGGGGTGTGGGGAAATGGAGCTCAGAGCGCTTCCTTACGTTCCCTCGTTGGCGAGCGTTGCGATGTGCGTGCCAAAGCCAAACGGAAGGCGCTCGCCAGTCGCGGCGATGCATGCAAGCTCGAGCGCACACACGACCTCGAGCGCGGCGGAGTCGAGCTCGCCAACCTCGAACTCGGTCGGGACCCACAGCCCATCGACGCTGTTGACATTCGGGTCGATGATGTTGTGGTACTGCGGCATCGGAGAGAAACCCCATTGCTTCGAGAGGCGCTCAAGACTCGAGCTAAGCTGCGCGTGCAGGCTCGGCGAGACGGCGTCACGCGAGTAGACGACATCCATCTCGGGGTGCGGCGCGACAAGCGTCGCACCGACAGGGGGCGTCGGGTCCCACGTTGGGAAGCGATGCGTAGGCACCGGAAACTCGGATGCGCAGCGCCAGCAAGGCCCGTCTGCGACGTAGCACTGCCTGCGGTTCCCAGTTTGCGCCAGCCCCGGCCCAATGCGCTGGTCGCAATGGAACGGCAGGATGGCGCTCTTGAGGTAAACGACGCCGCCTAGCGCCTGCTCGAGCGGGAACTTATCACCCTCGAAGCAAGCCGCCAACGGCTTGCGCGTGTCCTGACTGTTGCCGCCCTCGAGTAGCCCGCTCGGAACGTCGCGTTCGCCGCCGTCGCCGCCAGTTGTGACATCACGCAGCCCGCCCGCTGGCACATGGTCGAGCAGCGAGAGCTCGTAACGTGTCGCGCCCTTGCGCCCATCGGCTCGGAATCGCTCAATGACCTCATACTTGAAGAGCGCGTCGGACTCCCAGAGGGCACGCAGCCGCTTACGGTACCACGAGTCGCGAAGCTGGTCGCCAGGAGCCGGAGTCAAATACGAGAGCAGCCGGCAGGATGTGCGAAGGGCCGCCATGCCCTCGCGCTCGCGTAGGGACCAGGTGCGGTAGGTGATGGCGCGCCTTGTCATGCGCGATGCCTCGTCGTACATCCGCAACTCGAAGAGCGCCCAGCACAGGAACGCCCAAGCCTTGCCACAGGCTTCGTCCTTGCGCAGCGCTGCGCGCGCTGACACAAGGCATTGCTCAAAGTCTTTGACGCGGCGTGCAGCGGCACAGGCCAAGAGCTCCGTGGCCGCAAGTTCGTTCGGTTGTGCGGCGGCGGCTGTCGCAGTGAGGGGCACCTCGCGGGAGCGCTGCCGCAGTAGTGGCAGCATGATGGAGCTATGATCGCTGCTGCAGTTGCTGTCCACGGCACAAAAGGCCGTCTCTCCAAGTGTCGTCGCTTCGGCGAGGCGGTTCGGATACTGTTAGGTCAGTCGGCGGTTCGAGCTCGGTTCGCGATTCGGATTGAAGTTGTTGGACGTTGTCATATGGGCCGGGCGGAAACGTTGGTGGATCCGTTGGCCGAGTGGGAGGTGGTGGCCGGGACGAACCAAGGACACTCCGAACGGCGCGTGCCCGCGCGACGCGCCAGCGTTTTCTTTTTTCCGGCCGCTCGAGCGGGCAGCGCGAGCGGCCGATCCAGCGGCGACGCCCTGGCGAAGAGCGCGATGCTCTCGCTCTTGCAGCTCGCGTCGCTGTTCGCCACCGGGCTCGTCACGCCCAGTCAGCTCACCACGCTCATATCAAGCTCGCTCCGGCCGTCCTCCTACCTCGCGACCAGCCCCGCCGCCGCCCGACGCGTCGCTGACGCGTGCGCCGAACTGGAGGCGACGGCGCCGCCGCCGCTCTGGCCCCGCGACCTTCGCAGGCTGGACGGGTCGTGGAGGCTGATCTACTCATCCGCCCTGGCCGGGCCGCAGCCGCCCTCGCCGCTCGACGGTCTGCCGGCGCCTCCCGCGGCGCTCCTCGCCGCCGTCGAGTCGGCGCCATTCGCGCCTCTCGGCGGCGGTGTCCAGCAGAACGTCGACGTCTTCAAAGTGTGTGCCCCTCAACGTTGCACAGACGTTCTCCCTTCCACGAGACCTCACCCAGCTTGCACACCTCGCACAGCGCCGCATCGTCAACGTCGTCGAACTCTCGCCGTGGCCAACTGGAGCTCTCGGCGGCCTCCTCTCCTCCGCCCCCGGACCGCTCGGGCAGGCGAGCACTAACCCTAACACTAACCTTAACCCTAGCCCTAACCCCAACCCTAACCCTAACCCTAACCCCAACCCTCACCCTCACCCTCACCCTCACCCTCACCCTCACCCCCACCCTCACCCTCACCCCCACCCTCACCCCCACCCTCACCCCCACCCCCACCCTAACCCCTGACTGCTCGGGCAGGCGAGCAAGCAGCTCCAGGCCGCTCGCGTGGTGCTCCAGCTGGACCATTCCTTCACCGCCGCCCGATTAAAAAAGAAATAGCGAGACGAATTCTTTTTAGGTGCTCCAGCTGGAGCACTCCTCCACCACTACCCGTGAGAAAACGAGATAGCAGCCAGTATTTCTTTTTTAGGTGCTCGAGCTCGACCACTCCTTCAGCGCGGACGGCGACGGCTCCGACGGCACTGCCTAGAGGGGGAGATGAGGGGAGATGTGGGGGGAGATATGTGGAGATATGGGCCACCGCTCGCGGCCCGTCGGCGCCTAGACTGGGAGATGTGGGGAGATGTGGGCAGATAAGTGGAGATATGGGACACCGCTCGCGGCCCCGTCGGCGCCTAGACGTGGAGATGTGGGGAGATATGTGGAGATATGGGCCACCGCTCGCGGCCCGTCGGCGCCTAGATTGGGAGATGTGGGGAGATGTGGGGAGATGTGGGGAGATATGGGCCACCGCTCGCGGCCCGTCGGCGCCTAGATTGGGAGATGAGGGGAGATGTGGGGAGAGATGTGGAGATATGGGCCACCGCTCGCGGCCCCGTCGGCGCCTAGATTGGGAGATGTGGGGAGATGTGGGGAGATGTGGGGAGATATGGGCCACCGCTCGCGGCCCGTCGGCGCCTAGATTGGGAGATGTGGGGAGATGTGGGGAGAGATGTGGAGATATGGGCCACCGCTCGCGGCCCGTCGGCGCCTAGATTGGGAGATGTGGGGAGATGTGGGGAGATGTGGGGAGATACAACTGTATGGGCCACCACTCGCGGCCCGTCGGCGCCTAGATTGGGAGATGTGGGGAGATGTGGGGAGATGTGGGGAGATGTGGGGAGAGGGGGGAGATATGGGGCCTCGTGTAGCGGGCAGGCCTCCCCGCCTAGACGGGGAGATGTGGGGAGATGTGGGGAGAGATGACCTCGGCGACGCGGCTGGCGGGAGCACAAGACGAGGAGGGGCGCTCGAAGAGGGGCGCTCAACCCAGTGGGCGTGTAGTAGGCGCGAGGCGTGGGGCGGCGGGCTCCACGATCTCCACATCTCGCCACATCTCCCCACATCTCCCCACATCTCCCCGCATCTCCCCTCCCCATATCTCCCCATGTCTCCCCACATCTCCCCACATCTCCCCACATCTCCCCGCATCTCCCCATATCTCCCCATGTCTCCCCACATCTCCCCATATCTCCCCACATCTCCCATCGAGGCGAGCGGCGGCGGGCTCCACGATCTCGCTCACGCTCGAGGAGGTGCGGCGAGCTACGGGGAGATATGGGGAGATATGGGGAGATCACGCTCGAGGAGGTGCGGCGAGATATGGGGAGATATGGGGAGATATGGGGAGATCACGCTCGAGGAGGTGCGGCGAGAGTTGGACGGCGCCGTCCGTGAACAAGGAACACATGCACTTGGAGCACTTGGAGTGCAGTCATTAACCTCACCTGCGCGCGTTTCTTCTTGTTGCGCGGCAAGAGATGATGGCGCGCGCCGCCCGTGAAAAAAACCGTGGCCACTTTCGTCTTCAGGTGCGGCGAGAGCTGGAAGGCGCTGCCGGAGGCGGCGACGACGCGCTGGCCATGGCGCCGCCCTAGAGGCGATCTCCCCACATCTCCCCAGATCTCGGCCAGAGAGGCAGAATCTCTCCCCCACCTCCCCAGATCTCCCCCCATCTCCCCAGATCTCCCCATATCTCCCCACATATCCCCTTCTCTCCCACACATCTCCCCACGTCTCCCCAGATCTCGGCCAGTCTAGAGGCGGAAGGCAGACCGGCGCACTTGAGGGGAGATGTGGGGAGATATGTGGGAGATATGGGGAGATATGGGCAGACCAGAGCACTCGAGGGGACGCGCCGTGCGCACAGCTGCATCCAGCTGCATCCGCTCTGCGCCTGTCTGCTACTGCAGCCGCCCCTCCTCGCTGCCCGGTGTGACACAGAGGCTGTCTGCTACTGCCGCAGCCCCTCCTCGCTGCCCGGTGTGACACAGAGGCTGTCTGCTACTGCCGCAGCCCCTCCTCGCCGCCCGGTGTGACACAGAGTCCGTACACTGAGCGGCTGGCTCTCGAGGCCCCTCGAGAGTTGACGCGGGGTAGGCTGGGGCTGTACCAGCCAGGCCCCCGAGCCGTCTCGCCACGTGTGCGTGCGTGCTAGCCCCCGCGCGAGCGGCCGGTAGTACCAGCTCACGACTTGTTGGTGAGCCAGTGGGCTGCGCACTGCGCGGGTGTCGGCCGTCGCCACGGGAGTGTGCGTGCGTGCGTGCGTGCGTGCGTGCGTGCGTGCGAGCGTGCGTGCGTGCGTGCGTGCGTGCGTGCGTGCGTGCGTGCGTGCGTGCGTGCGTGCGTGCGTGCGTGCGTGCGTGCGTGCGTGCGTGCGTGCGTGGAGTGTGGCTGCAGTCCCTCGCCCTGAGTGCGCGCGCGCGCGCACACACACACACACACAGAGCAGCGACTGTCGCGACACAGAGAGATCCGGGGCGCGGGGCTGAGCGCCACGTGTGCAGGCTCTGCGTGCGGCCGTGTGGCCAGCTCCGAGCCCCTGGCTGGCGAGTCGAGGCACACGCACGCTCTCTCGAGGTCTCTTGGAGCAGAGTCCTCGAAAGAGCTCCCCAAATGGGAGGAGAGCACCGTGCCACCACAGGGGCCGAGAGGCCGTACCTTGAGGTACTGTCGTCTCGAGGGCTGTGGAGGGTGGGGGGCGAGCAGGTACCTCGGGTACCTTGGGTGGGCCTGGCCTCTGCTCGCCAGGAGCCCCTAACCCTTACCCTTACCCTGACCCTAGCCCAGCCCCTAACCCTTACCCCAACCCTAGCCCTGACCCTAACCCTTACCCTACCCCTACCCCTACCCCTAACCCAAATCCTCGGGTACCCTGGGTGGGCTTGGCCTGGCCTCTGCTCGCCAGGAGCCCCCCGGGGCGAGCGTCTACGTTCCCGTGCCGGGGACCACGGATTGCCTCACCGGACAGAGCTCTCCCAGCGATGGCACCCTAGGGTTGACTGTAGCTGCCGGCTCCACGCCCCTGCCATCCGAATGCACCGGCACTACTTGCGACGTGGCGTCTACCCCCGCCCGCACGTCACTGCCCTCGCTTTGGCGGGCGCAGGTGCCGCGGGCTTCGTCGTACTCCCTGCCTCCGCCGCTGCGGCCGCTGGCGTCGGGGAAGTTCGCGACGACGTGCCGCCCCACATCTCCCCACATCTCCCCACATCTCCCCATATCTCCCCACATCTCCCCACATCTCCCCATACCTCCCCACATCTCCCCACACCTCCCCACATCTCCCCACACCGCCCCACATCTCCCCACATCTCCCCACATCTCCCCATATCTCCCCATATCTCCCCATATCTCCCCACATCTCCCCGAGACGACGTGCCGCCCCGGCCGCAGCCTCCGCGTATCTCGCGCGCCGTGCAGGGAGTTAGGGAGGGCGAGCGAGCCGTAGGTACCTCAGCGGCATTCTCCGCATCTCGCGCGCCGTGCCGCCGCTGCCTTCGGCGCCGGCGGAGCTGCGTGTCTTCGTGAGGGAGGGCGGCGGCGACGAGGGTGCCACGTGGCAGGAGGAGGAGGACGCAAGGACGGCGGCGGCGGAGGAGGAGGCAGCGGCGGCCGCGGCGGCAGGCGCGGATGCCGTCGAGGCTGAGGGCGGCGAGGGTGGTGCGGTCGAGGAGCAGGAGGACGGCTTGTACTTTGACGAGGTGCCGGACTGAGCGCGGCGCCGCGACCATGCTCGCGTACTAGTGGCGCACTAGTGGCGGCCGGGTATTGCGCACGTGACACAGTCCGACGGAACACTGTTTATGGTTCTTGCGTTCTTGGTTGAGCGCACGCGAAAGTACGGGTCGCGGGCCGGGCTGTCTGCTGTCTCTCGAGGGTTGTCTCTACATAGAGCGTCTGGATTTAGAAATTTAGAAAAGGAAGATGCACAGGTGATGGCAGCGCGTGGGTCTGAAGTAGATATGGGAGTCTAGCTAAACCTAGAGCTAGAGAGACGTATAGCTATAGGGTGTGACACAGCTCACAGAACGACGGACGACGGCGCGGCCCGGGCGGACCGCGCGGTGCGTGGCTCCTCCTAGGGAGAGCGCGCCGTGCGCGCACGTGCCGCTCTCCATACCCTCTCCGGCCGACTGACAACACACCGCTCACCGGGGCCGAGCCGCCGGCCAACGCCCCGATGCCGGTGCACGGCGAGGAGCTGTGCGTTGGTAGGAAGGAGTCCTCGACACACACACGACACTCAGCCAGCGCTGGCTGCCACACATCCCGGGTGATCGCGTACGGCACCACGTCACTCGGCAGCAGGCCACTGTGGAGCGCCACGACGGTCAGCGCGTGCCCAATGTGGAGCACGCTGACCGTCGACTGCTGACCGAGCAAGGTCAGGCCCAGAGTCAGTCAGTCAGTCAGTGTTACACACGTCCTAGCATGGACGACGGGGCACACGCACTCGCGGAACACAGGGCATTACACACGAGGCGTTGTGTGCGTTCTCAGGGAAAGGCATCACCACAGACAAAAGCAAGGTCAGGCCCAGAGGGGCACTCAGAATGGGAGCCACCCCGAGCGCTCCTCGGCCTGCCTTCGCAGCGCCTTTGCGGTGTGGAGGAAGTCGGTGGCGGCGTCCGCCAGGTCCTCGGACTTCTCCGCGAGCCTAAGACCGCCACTCTGAACAGTAAGTCTCCGCGGCCGCGGCCGCGCGGCTTTGACCGTGGCAGCGCCGCCCGCTGATCTTCTCTCCCCGCTCGACGAGAGCCTG